CATTTGTTTATATCTCTCCAGGAAGAGTTCCTGCAACATTCACCACAGGCCCAGAAGCATCAGAGTGAGCTGACCATGGACTGACACCTCTGAAACCAGGAGCCCAGACAAATCTTCCCTCAATCTACACAGAACAGAGGACACATTTCCAGAGTGGGTCTCTGCAGCCACCTCACCTGTGATGTCACAGTTATCAAAAAACCATCCATCATGAGTGCAGTTGTCCCCCTCGTCTGAAGGGCTGCCTTCCAAGACCCACAGTGGGTGCTCAAACCCTATCTTTTTTCACACAGTTTAGTTTACAAGTTAGACCCAGAAAGAGACCACCAGCAACTAAATTGCCAGCATCCCTAGTGTTGCACTTTGAGTATACTGTTGAGGAAAATACAGGCAACAGGGACACAAGCAAGTGTGACCATGGCAGTCACTCTGACAACGGGAATGGCTATTAGCATACGTTCACACGGATATACTGGACAGAGGGATGGTTCATATCCTGGGTGGGACAGAGCAGGACAGAGCCAAATTCATCATTAATATCCAGGATGAGGCACAATTAAACGTTGCTTATTTCCAGAATCTTCCATTTAAATACTTTGACCCAGGTAGGTCAAAAGAACGCCTGTTAATTCTGGACTTTTACATTTCCAAAGGCCGGGCTCTGATGGCATTTGCAGCTGGTAACACAGCTGGAGAATGGTGACACAGTTCTTGCAAATGCCAAAACTCACACAGATTTCTGGGCAATACTGATTAGGCAGCTGAAGTGACCCGGGAACATGATGCCCAGGATTAGTCCTCAGCACAGATGATACTGCAATGGCTGCCTTCCTCTTCCCCCCATGAAGACACTCTGTTCTCATGGGCATCTCTCCCGCCGGATCTGTTCATAGCCCTCTTATCCATCCACCAGGTGGCAGGAGAGGGATGCGCAGCAAGTCCTCCACCCTCCCTGCGCTGCACAGTCCACGGGCAGTCTCAACAACAATGTCCTGACTTCCTCTTTAACCATGCTTTTGGACTCGGAGGAGAGCAGCTCGTATCGATGGAGGCTCCTCCGAGAGGCCGAAGGGTTGTTTCCTAAGGTACGATTAGGGTGACACCAGTGTGAAAGCCATAGCAAAGAAGGAGCCTGGGTAGGGAAAGAAGTGGCGCTGAGCATATGTTCTGGACCAAACAAGCGCAGCTTTGCTGGCCGTTGTGGCAGAGGTGATGATCCCCCTTGTTATACCCCATGATCCCACCTTGTTGATCTGTCTCCTCAAGACTACTTACTGGGCATCTCAGTGTGGCGGCACACATCTGTGATCCCAGCACTCACAGGGTGGAAACAGAAGAATTGGGAGTTCAATGTCATTCTCAGCTACATGGCAAGTTCAAAGCTAGCCTGGGCTACATGAAACTCTATCTCTCCCTCCCCCCAAAAAAATTGGTGATGGTGGTGATGATGATGATAATACCACCATTGGGGAGGAGAGGCTGGTCCCAACAAGGCAGCCTGTGCCATGCTACAAAGGCTGTCAAACTTCTCACTAAGCCTCCAGGGAAGTTTGAGGACAGACACGCTGGAAGCAATCACACCGACAGAGCTTGGGTTCTAAAATGGGGAAAGCTGCAGGTGTGGATTAAACATCACTCTGGTGAACCCTAATAACACCTTACTTCTTCCTGGCGTTTTGAGACAGGGTTTCTCTGTGTAGCCCTGGCTGTCCTGGAACTTGCTCTGTAGACCAGGCTGGACTCCAATGCACAGAGCTCCGACTGCCTCTGCCTCCCAAGTGCTGGGATTAAAGATGTGCGCCCCCATGCCCAGCTTCAAAGCATTTTTCCACATGTATGCTGCTACTGTCAACAGCGTCACTGAGGCCAGGTCCAGTGAGTGGACTGGGCCAAAGTTCCAAGATTCCATCTTCTGGAAGGACTCTGCAGCACAGGTGACATAGAGGACCCTCTGCTCCTCTGAATCACCAGGTGACCTCGCCCTACAGGACCTCTCTAAATCCTGGCAGCTTTCAATGGCATAGCTCCTTACTGTTCTATGACTCTGGCTCCTCAGCATTCAGATTCTCCTCTTCGGGTCCTCCAACACCTGGGCAAGCAACTTTTATATTCAATTTTGAATGAGAAAGAGCGGGAGATGGGGTGGGGCACAGCTCCCTAGTTGGTTGATGCAGGGATGAAGTTAGCAGATGCTGACCCCTGCCTCCCAGCTATTCTCTTCCTACCACAGAGAGCTAGGGAAGAGATATCGATAAGATTTTCTCCAGCCTCCTCTTTTCCCTTGTCTGACTCAAGCTCCATCATTTACCAGCATTGTGGCTATGGCGATGTAATTTGACCTGTCCAGACCTTGGGGCTTCTTCCAGAAAACCTGGATTTGGGTTGTACCTATAACTCAAGGTTACGGCAAGAACAGAATGAGTTTGTGTGTGCCCAGGGTTTCCCATGAATACAGTATTTTATAAATGACAGACTTTAATGCCACACAGACTATGTAATGGTCAGGAAAACAATTCATTTTTATATTTATTTATTTTTGTTTTTTTTCCAAGACAGGGTTTCTCTGTATTATTTTGTAGGCTATCCTCGAACTCACAGAGATCTGCCTGCCTCTGCCTCCAACAATTCATTTTTAAATGGTGAAAGTTGGGGCTAGATAGATGGCTCAAGCTGATCTTCCAGAGGACCTGGGTTCAATTCCCAGCCCCCACATGGCAGCTCACAGTTCCAAGGGATCAGACACTCTCTTTGCATATCCACAGCCATCAGATATGTACACACATGCAGGCAAAACCCCAACCAACATAATAAAATAAATATCATGATGCCGAGTGGTGGTGGTGCACGCCTTTAATGTCAGCACTTGAGAGGCAGAGGCAGGCAGATCTCTGTGAGGACAGGCTCTAAAGCCTCACCGAGAAATCCCGTCTGAAAAAGCAAAATAAATAAATAAATAACATGAAAATAAAGTTAAAAGTAACAGTAAAAGGCTAGGTAAGGTGTTGCACACCTTTAGTCTGAGCACTCGGGAGACAGAGGCAAACCTGATAAACCTAGTGAATTTCAAGCCACTCACAGAAACATAGTGAAACCCTGTCTGAAAAAAGTAAAGAAAATGACAGTGACCAAAGGACTTGAATAAACATTTCTCCAAAGAAGAAATGTAAGCGGACAGTGAGCAGGGCTGGGGGTATGACAACACTGGTGACATGCTTACTGTACAAGCCTGGGGACCTGAGTTCCACCTCCAGCACCCGTGGGTTTTTGTTTGTTTGTTTGTTTGAGTGGGTGCAGGGTTGTGGTGGCATGGCAGTATGTATCTGTAATCCCAGGACAGGAGGTGAGACAGGAGGATCGATTCCCCTGGGCTTTCTAGCCCATCAGTCAAGACAAATCAGCAAGCTTGAGGTTCAGTAGAAGACGCTGTCTCAGAGAAATAATGTTCCATTTGTACCTCTGGTTTCCACATACATGAACATACATGTATACACACACACACACACACACACACACACAGAGAGAGAGAGAGAAAGAGAGGGAAACAGAGACAGAGAGAGGGGCAGAGGCTCTCTGAGAGGCTCATCACTTCTCATTAGGGAAATGCAAGCCAAAGCCACAATGAAATGCTGCTTCATACTTACTGACACAGCTACCATTAAAACTACAGAGGACTCCGAAGCCATCAGTGGGCAAAGGATTTGCTGTGAAAGTGTGAGGACCAGCGTTTGGATTTCCAGAACCCACATGAAAGCCAGCAGGTATGGCGGTTACTGTAACCACAGCATTTGGAGGCAGAGACAGGATACCCAAAGCAAGCTGGCTAGATAAGCTAGTTCATCCGACAAGCTTCGGTTTCAGTGAGAGTCCCTGTCTGAGTAAATACAGCACAGAGCAACCCAGGAATGTACTCGGGGTCAATCCCTGACCGGTGTACACAAATCCTTGGCCACTCCACACACATACACATGAAAAAAGAAAGGAAGGAAGGAAGGAAAGGAGGAAGGGAGGGAAACTGGGAGAGTAGCTCGCCATATGAGAGGCTGAGTACCATCCCTAGCAGAGGAAGAAGAGGAACGAACGAGGATGTGGGACCTGTGGACATTGGCAGGTTTGGGAAGGGGTGTGGCCACTAGGGAAAACACTATGGAGTTCCTCGAATTAAGAATAGATATGATGGGGGCTGGAGAGATGGCTCATTGATGAAGAGCACTGGCTGCTCTTCCAGAGGACATGAGTTCAATTCAAAGCAACCACACGATGGCTCACAACCTTCTGTAGTGAGATCTGGTGCCCTCTTCTGGCCTACAGGGATACATCATGCATACAGAACACTGTATACATAATAGATAGATAGATAGATAGATAGATAGATAGATAGATAGATAGACTTTTTTAAAAAAGAAATGATATGACAGTAGGGTGGTGGTGGCACACTCCTTTAATCCCAGCACTCGGGAGACAGAAGCAGACGGATCTCCGAGTTTGAGACTATTCTGGTCTACAAAGTGAGTTCCAGGGTAGCCAGGGCTATTCAGAGAAACCCTGTCTCAAAAAAAAAAAAAAAAAAAAAAAAAAAACCAAAAACAAAAAGAGGAGGAGGAGGAGGAATAGACATGATTCAGCAATCCCAGCTCTGGATAGTTATGCAAAAGAACTGAAAACAAGGTGCCGCTCCACTCTGCAGTACCCTGAGCAGGTTTCTCCTTCTGTACTCTTAGTTACTGGAGACATTGGCAAGTCCATGTCTATTCACACCAACCAAAAGGGGGCACCTCAAGAGTCCATCAACAGATGAATGCAAAGAGACAGTGCGGTGTGTAGACGCAACGTAAGAGCCTAAAGATTTTAAAACTAAGGAAATCCTGTCATGTGCTACGTGATGGAGCTTGAGGTCACCGTGCTAAGAAAAATAAGCCAGTTTCGAGACAGGATTGCACTTACGCAAAGGATGCAAAAAAACAGCTAGCCGTCCCCCCCACCCCCACTTCCCTCCTGAGAGCCTCAACTGCACAGCAGTCAGGAACGGAGGAAACCATCCTTCCCTTCTACCGCATTTCCTCTTGTTCACGGTTTATTTATTGAATAAACGTTTGTCGTGGATCTATTGTATGCTAAGCCCCAGGGTTGGCCGTGGAAACAACAGTGGTAAGAAAGGCAGAATGTTGCTCTCTCCTCATCAACAAAGTGACTTCAGAAGGTGGGGACGCCGTGCTGAGAAGAAACAGATCTGCCGGAATCAAGGAAGACTTAAAGTGCGAGATACCAAACCGGAAGCAATGGCAACGTCTGCTGGAGGAAACACACACGAAAGCCCAGAGACAGAAGACAGCTCACCATGTCCAAGGGACACAGGCCAGCCCTGCTGGAGGAGAGGCATGAGAGCAGCCGGAGACGTGGCGACAACAGGTGAGGGAAATGCAGATAACACAATGGGCTGTACCGTGAGAAAACGACAGCTCTGAACACCAGGACTTGTGTGAAGGACAGGATCAGACATCCCCAGGTTCTCATTCAAAGGTTTGTCGTTGCCTCCTATGAGCCCTAATCCAAGGGTTCTCAAAGCTGGGTATGCACTCAGATCACCCAGTCTTATGTAACAGACTCTTGGGCCACCCCAGTTTGATCAGGGCCCAGAATTTGCACATCACTCTCAAGCCAATGTACACCACTGATCCTGGCAGTCCTCCATCACAGAAGATGTCGCTGGAAGTGCGCTTGAGACCCTTTCATAATGTCCCTTCTGGGAAGGCGCCCTTCTGTCCTAGTGGGCATGGTGATCGCATGAGAGAGAAAATATATCCAGGAAAGCTGTGTGGGGGTGGGGGCAGGGCAGTATCTTCCCATGTAGTCCTAGCTGCCCTTGAACTCACTATGTAGACCAGGCTGGCCTCACAGCTGGCAACGATCCTCCAGCTTTTGCTGGGATCACAGGCATGTGCCACTATGCCTACTGGGAAAGCCTTTTATAAAAGGAAACTGACGAATGCATGGAATCACCACCTTCAAGATGCACCCCTCCCATCTGCTTCCTTCACAGTTTACAAGAAAGGTTCTCGTGGAGGAGCAGCCGACTGCTTAGGAGCAATGGCGATTTTATGTTATTTATCCTGTCTAATCCTTTGAACATGTGAGCAGCTGCCAACCCATAATGCTAGGACAATGGCTTTCTTGCCCTGCCTTGGAGAAACCTTACATTCACCTCTATTGTTCTCTTCGCCGGTAGAGCTTGATGCTGCCTTCGAGGACCCACGGTTATTTTTGTCAACCATCATTTCGTCCCACTCCTCCCAAACAAAGCTCTCCTCTGAGTCATCTGGGGAACCCAAAGGCATGTGACGGTTGCTCAGCTGTTTATCTGGCCATCCAGGAGGAGAGTATTAATATTCTCTTGTGCTCAGTTGGAAAAACAACACAGATTGGTAGGTTGCTCGACACTCAAGAATCTAGAATGTACATATATGATAAATGCTTAGCGTGTGTATGTCTATTTACCTTCACTCACAAACTCAGTAACTATCTGGGGACTATCTGCTATGTACCAGGCACTGTTTTAGGTTCTACAAACACAGCAGTGTACAAAACAACAGAGCACCCGCCTTCCACAGGGTTTATTTATGTTCCACTCTTGGAACATACAGCAGTGGCACCCTCATCAAGGTTTTTCTCTCCATAGTCTGTTACCTAGTGTTGACGGCAGTCCAAAGAAACGTTAAATGGAAGATTCTAGAAACAAGCAGTGGGTACGTTTTAAACTGCATGCTGTTCTTAACAACTGAAATCTAGTACCAGCATCATGCGAATTCTCTTTATCTCAAGTATCCATGCCGTATATGTTCCCCACCTGTTACTCAACTAATAGCTTTCTGGGTTATCAGACTGAAAAAAAAATATTACCTAACAAACTCAGTACTTTGCAGACATTTACTCTAGGTCTCAGATGTGTCCCCAGTGGATAAGGAGGACCAGTGTATTCTGAAAGTGTACTTGTGTGTCAGGTGTTGACAGAGGAGACAGCCACATAAAATCAAATAAGTGAAATTAAATATAACAGGGATTTTGGTGGAGGTGAATAAGGATTGGAGCTTAATAACGCATAAAGAAGGAAAAGCAAGCCAAGTACATATTCAATTGTGGGTGTCATTTTCCAGGTTCACTAAGGGGAAGTTGTGGATTGAATCTAAACGCCACAAAATTCAGACATTTAGGGGTCCTAACATGACCTTTATCCGTCCCCCTTTCCTCTGGACTTAGGAAGTCTAGGTCATATTTGCCCCACTAATTTATTTTGGAGGCATGTAATATATGGTCTAGTTTCACAGGTACACAGCTGGAGAGAAACTTTCACTCAGATTCATACTAGGAGTTTATCCAACACATGATTTAGATGAGATACTGGACTTAGAGTAGATGAAGAAAAGTTAGGACATCGGTGGCTGTGAGAATGGGCTGGATATATCTGTATACAAGAACTACTTTTTTGGGGGGTCAGGAGGAGGTGTATACAGGCTGAATAGAGGTGCCCCAAAAATTACATGTTGCAGTCCAAACCCTAGAACCTACCTAAGAATATTAGTTCCTTTAAAGACATAATTGCTAAAATGAGGTCACTTGTAAGGGTGGAATCCTTATGAAGAGGACAATAGGATACAAACACACAAAGGGAGGTCTATGTGAAGACACAAGAAGACATCCACCTACAAGTCCAGGAGAGAATCCTGGGAGGAAGGCACCCAAGCCGACTCCTTGATCTTGGCTCCTAGCCTCCAGAATTTAGCCATGTTGCCTGCTCCTGCTCCTGTCCTGCCACTCAGGATCCCCTGGCTAGGAAATGGTGCCACCTAAAATGGGCTGTCTTCCTACATCAGGTACAAGACAATCCCCACAGACAAATCTGATGAAGGCAATTGTTCGATTGAGAGTCTCTCCCCAAGCCACTCCAATCCGTGGCAAGTTGACATTTAAAACTAACTGCCAAAGAGGCCTTCTGTGAAAAGAAAGCAGTGTGACCCTACTGGGCACACTGAGCATCATCTGCAAGTGTCCCGAAGACATGGAGTGTACTGTGCGAGGGACGGAGAGGAGGCTGGGGAAGTGGGGAGGCTGTGAAGGCCCTCCAATGATGAGGACTCAGACTTAATTTTGAATTCATGGTGTCCAGGTGTTGAAAGTCTGAAGCCAAAGGTTATATGGCAGTGCTGGCCTAGAAATGGTAGTAATCAACAGGACTGTACAGCTAAGAGAGATAGGATTGTACTCAGAACATAGGTACTGTCTATGAGATGTTAAATGATATAGCCTTGTACTAAAGCAAGGGTTGCCTGGACTTGAGGGGGGGGTGGAGTCCCACAGAGATGCAGACAGTGTAGATCTGACAGGCTGTGGCTCCCCTTTGAATGAAGATCAGGAAAATCCCGGGGGAAGGGAAACAGGATAGAGGTGGACAGAGAAAACACTGCTTCCATTCTGCACAAATGGAGTCAGAGTTGCATGTTGCCAAAGGACAGGAATGTTCAACTAAAAACAGGCAGTCTCGGACCAATTCACAAGAGGGCAACAGAGCCCAACAGTGGTAGATCTTGTGGTGATTTGAATAAGAATGGCCTCCTGAGGCTGGTAAGTGTGAGTACTTAATCCCCAGTAAAACTATCTGGGAAGGATTAGGAGATGTGGCCTTGATGGAGGTGTGTCACTGGCAGCGGTTTTGAGGTTTGAAAGATTTGCGCCATTCCCAGTCTCTCTCTCTCTCTCTCTCTCTCTCTCTCTCTCTCTCTCTCTCTCTCTCTCTCTCTCTCTCTCTCTCTCTCTCTCTCTCTCTCTCTGGGTCACGATGTTAACTCTCAGCCGTTCGCGCCATCATGCCTTTGCTTGACCATCATGTACTGAAACTGCAAGTCTAGTTAAGCACTTCTTTTTATAAGTTGCCTTGGCCATGGTATTCTGCCTGTCATCTCAAGGACTTAGGAGATGAGGAAAAAGGTTTTCCTAAGTTTTGAGCTACATGGTAAGACACCTCTCTCTCTCTCTCTCTCTCTCTCTCTCTCTCTCTCTCTCTCTCACACACACACACACACACACACACACACACAAACACCTTCCTCCTTCAACATACCACAAGCAAAGTCACATCAAGCACCATGGTGGGCATGAGGGACACCACAAGGAACCAAGACAAACAGTAAATGGCCCTCAGGGAGGTGACATTCTTGTAGAAGCAGATCATAAGGACAAGTAAACAAACCAAGCACAGACACAACCAACTGGTAACCAAAAATTTTGGGGGGTGGAAATTCCATCTGTACTGAACACATGCAGACATTTTCTTATCATTATTCCATAAACAATGCAGTATGACTCTTTTTGTTTGTTTTTTACAGAATTTACATGGTAGTAGGATTTATTTGTAATCTAGAGATGACTAAAAGTACATGGGAGGGTAGGCATAGGCTATATGCAAATTCCAAATCATTTAAAAACTACTTGAGCATCATTTTCTAAAAACTACTTGAGCATCGGAGGGTTCTGGCTCCTGTAGATGGCTGGAGAATCAGTCCTCTGTAGGCACCAAGGGACACTTTTGCACAAACACATGCACACACCACTCACTGCTGCTTGTCCTTTGACCAAGCCTAACACATCTGCAAATGGCAGAATCTCATATGGAACCACGGGCACAAAAGGGAAGTGGGCGGCTAACCAGACCGCAGCAAGCGACACACGGGACTGGCCGCAGCGACAGCCCGACAGGCAGGTGCGAGGCCCTCTCCACCTCTTATCTCCACTGTTTCGGAAGGCTGGCTTCCTCTCCTTCACCGTTAGGCCTCTTCACACAGCACAGAAAATCATCGTCATCATCTTGGAGCCTACGGCTCACAGCGGCCTCCAGATCGTCAGCCTGAGAGCCCGGGAGGATCCTTGGTGAGAGCCACAATGAAGAAGTGGACCGCACACTGTGCAAACCTCCAAGTCCCTCAAGACTGTGGTCAGCAAGCAGAGCCCAGGGAAGCCTACGTGCAAATGTGAGAACCAGCAGGCTCAGCGTGCAAGAAGGGCTGATGTCTGGGTCTAGGGGACGGAGCCGGAGAAACAGCGAAGTCTCGGCTCAAGCACGGGGGAGCACGTCTTCCTTAGTAAGCCTTTTTGGTCCGCTCAGCCCCTTGCCTGGGTTAGGTCCACGCGCATTATCGAGGGCATTACTCTTGGCTGAGATACACGTTTGCCTCATCCAAAAGCATCTCCACAGCTGGCCGGCTTCCTACAGCTGTGACAGGACACCTGTGATAAATATCTTCTGGGGGTTTTGCTTGGTTTGTGGTTATAGTTTTTTTTAATTAAGTCTGAGATATCAATAACAATACTGATGTGTAGTTGGTATCTTACATTCCAAATCCCAGTACTTAATTCTGCTTTGGTTCTGTTACTTAACTTGTAAAAAGCTGAGCGGTGCAGGGACTCCAACCTCAGAACTTCAACAGCACATGTCAGAAGATGACGCGCTGACGTCTGAAGAACGTGTTGCATCCGAAGGCTGCAACAGTCCACGACCAGGATAATGAAACACATAAAAAGACGGGCGAGTCCGTAAGGCGTCAAAGGTCTTATTCTTTAGTTCTGAAGTGGCATCCCTGTCTTTAAACTCCCCCGCGGTATGAACTACACCGTAACAGGTGACTGCGAAGGCCAGAAGCGTCTGGAGAACTATGTCTGTTGGCAGCGGCTCACACCCCTTTTCTGTCACTCGTGTGTGAGAATGATGCTGTGCAGCCGAAAAGGCAGCGTGGGCGAGGGCTAAGAGGCCCACGCCTACCAGCCCCTTCCCCAGCCACAGCACCATGACTCAGCCCCAGAGCTGTCTATCCTTCCACACCGGGATAAAAATCTCAGACACAGGAAAGATTTGTCCTGGGGCACAGTTTCAAAGTTCCCATGCTCATCTGGCCTCGTTGCTTCAGGCTTGTAGCGGCATCACGATGGGAGCACTTAGCAGAAGACAGTGTTCAGTTCACCACCACTGGGAAGCAAAGAGAGAGAAAGAGTCAAGGACATAGCCCCAGTGGCTTAACTTCCCCGTCAGGCCCCCTCTTTTCCTCTCTCTGGTTATTGCAATGCCTCACTATGTAGCCCAGGTTGACCCCACACGTGTACCACTCCTCCTGCCTCAGCTTCCTGGGTATTGGGGTTACAAATATTGTTCCACCACATCCTGCTGGTCCTACCTCTGAAATGTTCTCCCGCTTCTCAATGGCGCCATAGGCTGCAACCAAGCCTTTAACACGAGGCTTCCAGGAAACACTGCAGACCCAACTGGAGCACAGAAACGGCCAGAACAAATATCTGGATATCCTGGGGCTCAATCAAGTTGACCAACTTGATGAGGTAACTGGATCACAAAGAGCAGGAATGGCCCTTAGTGGCAAGCTTGGAAAAGACCCCAGGCTAGCCTCTGGGACAAAGGTAACTTGAAAACTTCCACCCCCCTCCTTTGGTTGTTGGTGTCTCTGTAGCTCTGGCTGTCCCGGACCAGGCTGGCCTTGAACTCACAGATCTGCTTGCCTCTGCCTCCCTGAGTGCTAGAATTAGTGTGATACCACACCCAGTTCTGGCAAGCTTCTCCTAATCAGGGTCTCTCTGCTTTCTAAGGCTCCTTGTGTCAAAACAGGCTAGAGAGTATCTACTTGTTTATTTATAGGTGTGGGGCAACTTATCCACTGAGATGAGATATGCTTTTGTGACACTTGTTGACTGAAACACAAAAGCTCACTTTTTTTTTTTTAACACATCTGCAAGTCAGATGTGGTGGCTCATGCCTCTAATCCCAGCACTGTGATTCCTCACACCTATGGTGGCACACAACTCTAGGAGAACGGACACCTTCTTCTGCCTCTGAGGGTACCAGGCATGCATGAGATACACAGACATACATGCAGACAACCCTTAATAAAATAAGCGAAAATAAAACTCCATCTTCCAGGAAATCTGAAGCCTTCTTTGGGCCTCCAGACACCAGGCACACAGGTGGTGCACACGCACGCATAGAGGCAAAACACTCACACATAAAATAAATAATAAAATAAACATGGTTGTTCATTTTGTTTTGTTTGTTTTCAAGACAGGGATTCTCTGTGTAGCCCTGGCTATTCTGGAACTCATTCTATAGTGTCAGGCTGGCCTTGAACTCATTGATCTGCCTGCCTCTGCCTCCTGTGCCACCACCACCCAGCCACCACCACAATTGTTTTTAAGCCAGATTCAGTAGCACTCATTAAAGTCCCAGCACTCCTATGGCAAGATGGAAGCCTGTAAGCTTGAGGACCAGCTGGTCTAGAATACACAGAAGGAGGAAAGATGTGAGACCCCACCTCAACAAAGTGGAAGGAAAATCAACTCCCAAAAGTTGTCCTCTGGCCTCCATATGTATGCCATGCAACCAGCACAGCACACATATACACATCATACACAGTAATACCAGAAAATAATTTTTTAAAAGTGCCACCTATATTTGCAGTGGATGGTAGATGCCCCAGATGGTGACTCAGGGTCCAGGCTCTGTGGCTCTCCCACAGACCCTAGTTATCATCTCCATCTTGCCAGAAGAAAAGGAGAGAGAATCCGTGAACAGGAATAGCACATTTCATTCTAGGTCATAGACCATTGTTGAGAACCAGTCACATGGTCACGCTGCAAAGAAGGCTGGGGTCTTGTACTGCATAGTAACTCTCAGTTCTGTGCCAGGCTTTCTTTTAGATTTGGAACTAGGGTGACAGATGGCCTTGAGCCACCATGTGGGTGCTGGGAACTGAACCTGGGTCCTTTGAAAGAGCAACCAGTGCTCTTAACTGCAGAGCCAACTCTGCAGCTCCCATATCAAGGCTTTTTCATTTTGACACCATTGCATAATCACTCCTTATTTTTTATTTTATTTTAGAGAGAGGAGGTTATACGGTACATAGTAGAATGTTTAATAACACCTCTGGCTGCTACACATCTGATGTCAGTAGTACCCCAGCCCCAGTCATAACAATAAAAAATGTCTTGCCAGACACAGTGGTACACACCTTTAACCCCAGCACTCAGGAGACAGAAGCAGGTAAATCTCTGTGAGTTCATGGTCAGTCTGGTCTACATAGTGAGTTCCAAAACAGCCAGAACTATATAAAGAGACCCTGTTTAAAAAAAAAAAAGTCTCTCCATAAAGATATCCTAGCAATATGTTGGGAGCAATCATTGTTATTTAAAACCTTTTGTAAATATTGTCAGTCTTTCTTAAGAGCAGTCTGTCCCCTCCTGTGCTTCCCTATGAATAGAACCTGGGCTCACAGAAATAGCTGATAGCAATCTACAGTTAGGTTACTCAACCCTCATATAGAGTACGTGACTCTGGACCAACCTTCTACCTGCCAAATTCCAGAAACAGACCTGTGGCTTATCTGCCTAGTCACTAGAGCATAGGCTTAAACAATAGAAGGTAGAATGTGAAAGATAAAGTTAGAATCTGCAGTTAGGTTACCAGAGGACACAGGATGCCCTACCCATCCCACTGCCCTTTGCTCCGCCAGGCTCACTGCAACTGCAGCACACCCCCATTCCTTCCCCTCCTCCCTTCCCCTATATAAATCCCTTTGGGGTGAAATAAAGTTGTCGCCTTGATCAGAATCCTGTCTTGGCATCCATTCTTGTATCCCCTGCCCCCCATCTTTCTCCTAGGTGTCTACCAAACCCATGTCCTGCAGGTCGGGACAGCAATACACGTAAATAAATACATGTAACAGAATGTTTTAATGTCTCTAAGTGTTAGAAAATGTAGCTGGGGTGAGAGAAGGTTGTGAACCATATAGGGGCTCTGGGAATAGGACTGAGGTCTCTGTGAGAGCACAAAGTGCTCTAATTGAGCCATCTCTGCAGCCCCAAACTGATGGTTACAACTCCATGTTCACTCCTCTATAAAAAGGTAAAACCAGTGCTGGAGAGATGGCTCAGTGGTTAAGAGCACTGGCTGCTCTTCCAGAGGATCCGTGTTCAATTCCCAGCACCCACATGGCAGCTCACAGCTGTCTGTAACTCGTTTCAGCAGATCAGGCACCCTCACACAGACATATATGCAGGCAAGACATCAACACACATAAAAGAAAAATAAATAATTAAAAAAAGAAATTCCTTTTAAAAAAAGCAAGGAGCTAGCTTTATGACTTCTTCCCTTGCTATTTAATGTAAAAATAAGTTTGGAAATGTTGGACAAGAACTCAACCCCCCTCAACTAAGAAGAATTGTTCTACATAAGAAAGTAACAATCAGGATATCTGTCAGCTAGATAATAAGTCTAATGAAATAGCATGTTGGGTTTCTTTTTTTTTTTTTTTTTTTTGGTTTTTTGAGACAGGGTTTCTCTGTGGCTTTGGAGGCTGTCCTGGAACTAGCTCTTGTAGACCAGACTGGTCTCGAACTCACAGAGATCCACCTGCCTCTGCCTCCGCCTCCCAAGTGCTGGGATTAAAGGCGTGTGCCACCACTGCCTGGCCTCATGTTGGGTTTCTTTATCACTTACAAAGCTCAGGGGATGGCTGTTAGTTTCTGCTCACAAAATTCCTAACAGAATAGCGAAGGTGCTGACTTGAAGATCCAGAGAGAAGTGCGTGATGTGTCCTTGAGCTCTCGGCTGTGCTGTTCCCAGAATATGACAATACTCTCCGGAGACACCGCACTGCCAGGTGAAACAGGAGTAACTGGCAAAGAGAGGCTGCCTCCTCCTCTGCAACTGAGTGTGACCATGTGACAACTACAGAAGTGACCTGAAGTGATGCATGCCACTCCCCGCTAAGGTTTAAGATTTCTCCTCCCCTGTGAACCGAGTCCTTTGTTTGCTTGTTTTGTTCTACCATGCTGTAAAGAACAGACTTTCTGAGCTAATTGTTACAGATTCCCTGAAATTTCTGCACAGAAACAAGGTTTTTTTTTTTTTTTGATCATTTGCCTAATGCAAGACAATATTTGTCAGCACTTGGGCAAGTCTTGCTCTTTTCAAGGGTGATGAAATATTTTCAGGAAATGGACTAACTGACGAGGATTCCCTGTGGCCTGATGAAAACGGGAAGTAGTAACACCCAGTCAAGCCTTGGGTGCCAACAGTTTGCTTTATCTCCCAGACACCTAACAGCAGCGTCTTGCTTTGCTAACCAGCTTCCTGGCTGATGGGGGAGTCCTTCACACTCTGTGGAAAGCTTTTAGACAAGTGTCTGGGTTTGGTTTGTAGTCCCAAAGAACTCCAGATTTGCAGCTGGCTACTCACATGAAGTATTAGTCTCTGTACTCAGAAAAATACATAAGGCTCTAGAAATTAAGTAAACGTGGCTATTGGAAAACAATTTGATTGTGATGAAACGCAAAGTGTTATCAACAAAGGTTAATCTGAAACACAACCAAAAAAAAATAATCTAGCTGCTGGAGTTTCTGTGAGATAAGGATTCACATGTCAATCCTAGAGTGTCCCTGCTGAGTGGAGCCATTTGGATCTGAATAAGGGAACTTTCTAAAGATTTTTATTTTTAATTATGAGTATGGATGTGTCTTGTGTGCAGGTTTATGCATATGAGTCCAATGCCTGCAGAGGCCAGAAGGGGGCATCCAATCCCCGGGGAACAGGAGTTACAGGTGTTTGCCACCATGTGGGTGCTGGGAACAAAGCAGGGGCCTCTGCAAGGGTATCAAGTGCTCTTAACTGCTGCACCTCCGCTCCAGCCCCACTACTGATGCTTTACTGCCCCACATGCATAAATCTCTACAAGCCCTGAAAACACCTGCCTTTATTACTTTGTTTTGTTTTGTTTTCCAAGACAAGGTTTCTCTGTGTGGTCTTGGCTATCCTGGAACTCACCCTGTAGGCTGGCCTTGAACTCAAAGAGATCTGCCTGCCCCTGCCTCTCAAGTGCTGGCATTAAAGGTATGCACCACCACCTAGCCTCTCTGTACATTTTTATAGGACTGAAACAATACAAAAAGGAAAGTCATTTATATTACAAAGTATGATGATCCTGCTCACTAAATAATTTGATCTTTTCCTGTGTCATGTCATAGTTTCTACGGTTTTAAAATTTCTTCCCCGCCCTGCATGACTAAATGGCATTTTCATGTGGCTTTCTGTCAGCTGACTTAGGTTAGTTCTGCCTTACGGCTGTTGTGAATTAGTTGTGAGGTTTTTGGTTAGCTGGTTTGGTTTTGTTGTTATTGTTTAGAGACAGGGTCTCAATGTATAGCTCTGGCTGTCCTGGAACTCACTTTGTAGACCAGGCTGGCCTCGAACTCACGAAGACCCAACTGCCTCTGCCTCCCACGTGCTGAGATTAGAGGTGTGTGCCACTATGCCTGGCAAGTTCTGTTGTTTTAATCTATCAAAACTGTGGTACTTTGTTGCAGCTGTGACTCAAAACTAACACAACCCAAGAGAGACGCGGGCAAGAGACACAGATGCTCAACAGAAAAGGAAATATGCAGGTATGTGAAGAGGCAGTCAACATCTCAGGCTGACCTAGTCAGTTTGTGCTCCACCAGAGCAAACCCACAGGGTGGGTGGCAGAAGAGCCGGAATTTATCCCCTCAGTTCTGAAAGCTGAAGGCCACCAGGTGGAGTTCTAGTAAGAATCCTTCCCGGCTTCTAGCAGTTTCCTCCTTGCTGTGTTCGAAACGGCCTTTCCTTGGGGACACGAGGGACACAGCAAGCTCTATGGTCTCAAGAGCTCAAACCTCCAGACTTCATCTAAAGCTAATTACTTTCCAAAAGCCAGTCCCTAAACAGCATCACACTGGGGGCTAGAGCTTCAGCGTGTGACCGGTAAGAGGACGCAATTGAGTCCACAGGACTCCACTCCATGTCCACAAAGCTTATTTCCTTTCTTCCTTACATTTTAAAAAATGAGCATACAGAGACTGGAGAGATGGCTCAGCGGTTAAGAGCACCAGCTGCTCTTCCAGAGGATCCGGGTTTGATCCCTGGCATCTACAAAGCAGCTCATAGCTATCTATAACTCCAGTTCTAGGGATCCTATGCCGCCAGCCTGCAAGGCACCTGCATTCATGTGCATATACCCACTTGCAGGCACACATACCCACACACAATTTAAGTTAAAAATAAATCTTTTCTTTAAAAAAAGATAGTCAGAGCAATGCTCTTCCCAACAGCAAAAATCCACAAACAAATGGAGCGGCATCAGTGACAGAGTGGAAAAATAAGCCAAGGGATATGCATGCAAGGAGCCATTACACAAAATGAATGACCCATGGTGACACACTGCAGAGTTCTACAGATACTTTAGTACATGAAAAAAGTTGCTCCACAAAAAAAAATCATTCAGCAAGATGAATTTTTATAAAGTTAAAAATAGCCCAAAGCAAGCATAGATACTCTCCAGAAACATACACAGAACACAATTGCCTAAAAGGATGTAGGAACCACCGGGCCAGGGGCACAGGACCCCCTAGTCTTGGAGGTTCAAGGCCTACCTGAGCCACAGATGAGGTCAGGGCTAGTTTGAGCAATTTAGCAAAAAAAAAAAAAAGTGTAAATGGGAGCCTGGGGATATAACTCAGGGACAAGCGCCTACCCAGCAATCACTGGGCCCTAGGTTCAACCCCGCACCACAACCAAAACAGAAATGGGAAGGGATGAAGGTAGACAAAGCAAGATCAGACTAGGCTCTTGCGCCCTGAATGTTTGAAATTTTCCACTTGAGTAAATTTTAAATAGTGTAAAAGGGGAAAAACAAAGATTGATAAACACCGGATTCAGGGTGAGGGTTACTCAAGCAATGGGAGGCAGAATCTTGGGATGGAAGAGAAACCTACAAGTCCATGTCAGTTCCTGTCAAGTATTAGCTAACTTCCTGTACTATCACAAATTGCCTTGGCAATCAACTTACAAAGACAAAAGGTGTCTGGGAGTGATGGGGGAAGTCCTGTGTATTTGTCAATAAAGCACTGTTGGCCAATAGGGAACCAAGATAGGTGGGACTAGGAGTCGAGGAGGACTCTGGGTAGGAGAAGCACAGAAAGTCAAGATGTAACGCCATGGGGTAGGAAGCCTGGAACTATTCTCCGGTAAGAGAAATACTTAGATTAACAATTATGAGCTAATAAACAAGCAAGGCCAACAGCTTCATAATTAATATAGCCTCCTGTGTGTTTATTTGGGACTGATGTGGCTCTGGAACCAGGCTGGCGGGAAGGCTTCTCTCAAAGAAACGGCTTCCCTTAACATGGGGGTGTGAGGCTCACAACTTTGGCTCACGGTCCATGGCCCCCCTGCCTTTTCATTTCTTCCTACATTTATCTTCTGTGCGTGGGTGTTTTGCCCGCAGATACCTGTGCTGCACTTACATGCCTGGTGCCCTTGGAAGCCAGGAGAGGGCATCAGGTCCCCTGGGACTGGAGTTACAGACAGCTGTGAGCAGTCGTGTGGATGCTGGAGATTGAACTGGGGTCCTCTGTAAGAGCATCCATCACTCCTAAGCACTGGGCCACCACTCTAGCCCCTCCATAGTCTATGACAGGGCGGCATATCATGGCAGAGGTAGAGGAAGCTGCTTGTGGCAGCTGGGAAATGAAAGAAAGCAGTAAAAAAAAAAAAAATAAGGGGGTGGGTTAATCCTTCGAGAGCATGTCCACAATGACCAAATGCTTCCCAGCAGGCCTCACCAAGTACAGGGTCCACCACCTCCTCAGAGAACCAAGCCTGGGACCTAGCCTTCAGCAGACATTCCAGGCCCAAACGTTACTATCCTGGATGTTCGGTGGCTCGGTTTTGTTTTGGAGGGTGAGCTTATGAGCTCCTATTATAGAACAAACTAAATAACTAGATTAAGGTATGCCATGCATGGCATAATGAAAAACCAATCAGAGAGCAGAAAGCAAAGTGTGAAATCACCGTCCACAGCGCTTGGCAGCACTAGGCAGGCAGAGCCAGGATGTGTGCCTCTGGCCGTGAGGAGACAGCGGACTGGAGGCTCGGCTGCCAGCTCTTCTGTTCTTCCCTGACTCGCCCTCCCTGGATGGCATCTCCGACTGTCTGACTGTACACTGACCAGCAAAAAATCTGAGGTATTCTCGGGCTTCTGGATTCCTGATTAAGAGAGGCACTGGGCTGGATGCTTAGGATATCACACAAGTAGTTGGCTTGAACTACCCAAACTTCAGCTAACCGACAGAGGTTTACATCTGTCCCTGACATACACCTTTGTCTGGGGACTGTAGTGGTTACTGTTGACTGTCAGGATCTAAACTCACCTAGTAGACAAAGCTCTGGGCATGTCTCTGACAAAGTTTCTAGATTGGGTTAGCAGAGTGAGTGGAACCATGCAAAGGGCCGAAGGCCTGGACCAAATTTAAAAAAAAATCTGCTGGGCACCCGTCTTTAATCCCTGCAGTTGGGATCAGAGGCAGGCGGATCTCTGTGAGTTCAAGGTCAATCCGGTCTACAAAGATAGTTCCAGGACCTCCAGGGATACACAGAGAAACCCTGACTCAAAAAAATAAAATAAAATAAAATTGAGATAGGGTCTCTCTATTATGCAGCTCTGACTGGCCTGGAACTCAGTCAACTTGCCTCTGCCTCCCGAGCTCTGGGATTAAAGGCATACACTGTCATACTCAGCCAAAAATCTACGATAGATAGATAGATAGATAGATAGATAGATAGATAGATAGATAGAAGGCAAAGAAATCAAGAGAAATGCCAACATCTATCTGCTTCCTGACTACAGATGTGGTGTGACCTCTTGTTACTATGACTTTGCCACCATGACAGACTATACCCTCAGCCTGTGAGCCAAAATAATCTCTGTTTTCATCTGACTGCCAGGTATTGTATCACAGCAAGGAGAAAAACAACAAATAAAAGGACCCGAAAGTGTTTTACCTATTGAAAGAAGTCACGGGGTGCCAGAAACGTGACAGAGAACTGACTGGGCTGCTGTAGACAGACACTCTAGAAAGGCGGTAACTGGACTACCATGGACACCTCTGAAGAGAAAATGAACCTGTCAAAGACAAAAAGTTCCACACTTGTAAAATTAGCACAAAGAAAACCTTATTCAAGATCGTGTCCCCAAATTAGGGACCTCTACAGCAGACCTTCAGTGCAGAGAGAGTTGGAGCTCAACCCCAAGCACAGCACAGACAGGGGGATTTAGGGTAAGGGTCAATGGATGGAAAATTACCAAGAGGAAACAGGAAAAGTAAGAAGGAGTCTGGCTAAAGTGACCAGGCAGGATTCTTACTGAAGACAAGCCAGCGTGAACAAGCGCCACCACTTGGGGCTTGGTGCAGAATAAAAAAGCCTGATCGTGGGAGCAATCAGATAATGAAGACAGAGGGTTCCGGACAAATGACCTTGGCAGAGTTCTTTGCCAAAACTGGATCTTACAGGAAATACACAGATGGGCCTAGGAGAGAGTTCAAACTAAGGAGATTGGCTAAAATTTGATCAAGCACAAGATCGTTGACAAGAGACAGAAAAACCCTTTGTTGTATGGGGGGTGGGGAGACAACACGGGACTGATGTCCACTAAAGGTCGTGCTAAAGTCATCTCAATCCCAGAAATGATCATGAGTCTGAGGAGAGAAAAGCTCACACTGGCTTCTCCCACACCCCAGCACCTCTGGCTATCGGTGTGGTTCCAAACCTGAGTTGACTGGCAGCCTAAGCATCTACAGCAACTCCTCAGTGCAAATGCCCTCAGATACTTAGGCACTGCTGTGACCACACCAGAAACAACTGAAGTGGGGAAGGTTTGCTCCGGCTCACAGTTCCAGAGGGCCTCAGTGCGTCATGGAAGGCCAGGTGGAACAGAACAGCTCAGCCCACGGTAGCAAATGCACATGAAGGAAGCTCAAGATGGTTAATCCTCACTAGCAACTTCACTGCATTCAGAATCACCTAGGAAACATCTCTGAGCAGCACCATCCCACGGGCTGGAGTCCTGGACAGAATAAAAAGGAAGAAACAAACAAACAAACAAAGTGGGCTGGGCATCAGCATTCCCCTGTCCCCTTCCCTCTGCTTCCTGAATGCTGGCACAAAGTGGCCAACCACCCCACGCTCCAATCACCACACCTCTCTGCCTCAAACTGATTGGAAATAAACCCTCTCCCCTGAAGTTGCCTTGGTCAGGAAATCTATCACGGCAACGAGAAACTAACAGACAGCTGTTGGAAGCATGGCAGACTAAAAAGCGGGTTTCATTCAACCACTTATTGAGCTCTTACAGTGTTTCAGGCCCATCACTATGCAGACACTGATGGACAACTGCCATCGACAAGGGCAGCCCCAGTCCTATAGTATCCGGTACAGGCAGAGGGACTTGAGTACACGCAAGATGAACACCTGAGATCTGCTAGAAGGATGCAAAGGAATCCTAGAAGCTATCCCAGAGAAAGGGAGACCAAGAAAAGTCTAAAAGACAGAGGGACAAGCCCAGAAAGGGATGAAGGATGTTTGAGGAAGGATACTGTGCGCAAACAAAAGAAACCGAGATGCTACTGTCCCCAGTTTAGTCACCTAAAGGTGGGGAAGGAGGTCTCCCATCAAAGAGGTGACACCTGGGTCTTGGGGGATGGCCGAGATAAGAAGGAAAAGGACATTCCAGAAAGACAACGCAGCATGCACAGAGACACAACACGGCAACCTGGAAGGTGTACGAATGACAAAAGTAAACAAGAAGAGGGCACAACAGCTCCGCAGGGTTGCCAACATCACACTTAATAACTTGGAGCACAGTGGACAGAAAACCCAGAAAAATGGAAAGTCCTATACTTTGAACCTTAAGCGTCCCCAAAGGTCTCTAGCGTGGCACGTGTGGAGGCAGTGAAAACATTAAGGGGTGGGCACCAGTGGGAAGTCCGAGGCCACTGAGGTCGCAGCCCTTGAAGGACAGACTGCTTTCTCTTTCAGTTCTCAGGCACACCGTGAACAGCTTTGTCCCTCTGTGCCCTCCCCACCTTGCTCCTAAGCACCAAAACAGTGACCCAAAAGCTCTTCTGAGCACGAGTCCATGAGTCTTCCTGATCATGGATTGAAAACCTCTGAGTCTGAATTTGTGATGGCTCACACCTATAATCCCAGCGTTTCTGAGGGTAAACAGGATTGTAAATTCAAGTCCAGTCTGGAAGGAAGAAAAGATACATTTTAAAATAAAAAACCGGAGCTAGAGAGATGCTCAGCAGCTGAGTGCACACTGCTTTTGCACAAACCTGGGTGGCTCATAACCACCTTTAACTCTAGCTACAGGGAACCTGATGCCCTCTTCTGGTCGTCAAGGGCAACTTCATTTGGGTGCACATACCTATACAGACAGACAGACAGACAGACAGACAGGCAGACAGACACACACACACACACACACACACACACACCTAAAAATAAAGGGGCTGGAGAGATGTCTCAGTGGTTAAGAACACTGGCTGTTCTTCCAGAGGACCAGGGTTCAATTCCCAGCACCTATATGGAAGCTCACAATGTAACTCCAGTTCTGAAGGATCGAAGACCCTCACACAGACATACATGCAGGCAAAACACTGATCAATGCTCATAAAATAAAAATAAAAGAAAATAAATCTTTTTTAATAAGACAAAAATAGTAAAACCATGAGTCAAAATAAACCTTTTTTTTTTCTTTGTAAATTGAATCTCAGCTACTTTCTACAGTAAAGAAAAGCTGATCAACACAGAGAAGAAGAGAACAGGGTCAAAGAGCAGAGGCTCCACCAAGGCAGTAGCGGTCTATCAGACAGGGATGTATTCTAAAAGGAAGACCAATGGCATGAAGTACTAACAGCCCAGGCTTCCAGACAGACTAAGTCCAACTCTCCAGTCTGCTCTTCACCAGCCGTGTGACTCTGGGCAACCCCTTAACTTGGCTAAGATCCCATGTTCTTCACCTGGGAAATCAGGGTCATAAAGAAAGCAAACCTCGCAGCTGCAGACGGGATGAAGTGCAGCATGTGGAGAACCAGAGAGCCCCGCAGTGGAGCGAGCCGGTGTGAGCAGCAGGCCTGGGAGAGGACACGCTCACTGCAAGGGAGGGAAGGGCCCCGCTGTTGAAAGAGTCTCCAGGAGCCTGGAACTCTCTCGTCTTGTGAATGGAAAGACTGCCTTTTTACCTGAGCCTGTTCTCAGTGCTGTGCTTATAGTGAAGGACGCTGTACCACCACCCTCTAGGATGAAGAGCAGTCTTGTTTACTGCTTCCTTTAGAAGCGGTAGATCCCCCCCCACCTCCAAGCTCCAAGTTTCTCAGCTATGACACAAACCATCTGCATGTAGAGCATCCATCTGGGCCCATCACGCTGCCCCTGCAGGACTTGGAGGCAAGAAGAACTTACACAAATATGGTGATACTCCTGCTACTTGCTCTGACGGAGCAGTGAAGTCCTAGGTCTCTAATCTCAAAAGTCTTCTGCCAATAACCATGAACCAAACACAAGCTCAGTTATTAGCTCATAAACTAGAAAGACCCAGAGCTACCCGTGTGTGCAAGGTGTGAAAGTCGTGACTATAAATAGAAAAGTCTACAATGAGGATTCAGAGGGTACCTGTGTGCCAACAAGTGAAAGACAGGTAAGAAGGAGGACTCCAAAGGACTCGGGAAGGAAACACACACAGGCTCTGGATTCCGTCTCCAGCACTGCGAGAAGAAATTCAGAGTACTTCCTTTTCAAGCTGTCTTCTCTATAGCCCAAGTTGTTCTGGAGTTTCCTATGTAGCCTCAAACTTGCCATCCTCCTGCCTCAATCTCCCAAGTGCTGGAATTACAGGGCTGCACCACCACCATGCCAGACTAGAAAGCAGTTTCAACAAAAACTGAGTAGGCAACAGGATGTGACTACATCTTAGTAAGATGAAGACCGAAAGCAGCCACTGAGTTTAGCAACTAGGTCACCGGCAAGACACACTTCAGTGATGTGGCGCGGCCAGAAGCCAAACTGTAGTGGAAGAAGAATGAATGGAGGTAAAGAAGTTGTAGCAATAAATACGAGGCATCTCTTAGAAGTTTGGCTGCAATGGAAGGGGGTGGGGCACCAGTGGCAAGAGCAGGTGGGGGCAAACTCAACCTGTCTCTTAATAAATGGAGGAGATCTGAACGGTCATTTCTGAAAACAAGCCAGAAAGAGAAAAATTTGGGAGAAAAAAAAAGGTAAGGAGTAGGATGGATTCAGAGACAGAATGACTTCAGATCTTGGGTGAGACGGCATCTGCCCTAATCACACATCCTCAAGCAGGTGATCCGGCTGACTCGGATTGCAGATCTGTCTCCAGGTAGGTGGCGTCTACTCTCTCCTGCAAGAGGCCCCACCAGCAGGGGTCCTTCATGGCTACTTCCCAGAGATGAGCTACAGGGGTACTTCTCAAACAGGATTCCCAAGACACCAAGAGGCGTGTTCTGCACACCAAAGCACAAGGGGTTTGGAATGTGATGCTAAGCTGTGGAGCCAAAATAGTGTTCCTAAAGAACGTCTTCGAGCGGGCTGTGCACAAGGAACGTGGGGAGACCCAAGGCCTCCTCCTCAAGGCACCCGGGGTTGGCAGAGCAGAGATCTCTGGGAAGAAGGAAAAGAATTCTCACTTCTGCAACACCCCTGCCTGGAGTTCATCTACTGGTAAGAGTCTCTGCTTGGCCAAACTTGTCAGGCCCCTGAACCCTCTTCCAGGCCCATGGTGCATGTCCTTGCAGAATCCAGTTGAGCTGGGGATGGCTGATCACCTACCTGATAGGTTTTTCATCCTCTACCAGCCTGCAGGGGATGCTGACTCACTGTCTTCAGCAATTCTGCTAGGCCAGGTTAGCCAGAGCCCCCTATACACTGTGCTTCCACTTAGCCATTTTCCATTCTTCAACACCCACCCGGCTGTGCCGCTACAAACTCAGAACCAAACTAGGTCTTTCTCCCTAGTGCCAAACCCTGAGGATGGTGCTGAATAATAAGTGTCACTACACCGTTTTTCCAAAAAGTTTCCACTGGGCTGAGAGACAGCTCAGTTAGTAAAGTGCTTGCAAGCAGGACCTGAGTTTGATATCCATAACCTAGTTTTTAAAAAGAATGAAATTTTTTTTTTTTTAGTTTTTCGAGACAGGGTTTCTCTGTACTGCTTTGGAGACTGCCCTGGACTCATTCTGTAGACCAGGCTGGCCTCGAACTCACAGAGATCCGCCTGCCTCTGCCTCCCAAGTGCTGGGATTAAAGGCGTGAGCCACCAACGCCCGGCAAGAATGACATTTTTTTAATTGATTTAAAATTTAAATTTATCCAGGCAGTGGTGGTGCATGCCTTAAATACTGGTACTAGAGGTGTGTGAGGGGGGTGTCAAGAGGCAGGCGGATCTCTGAGTTCAAGGCCAGTCTGGTCTACATAGAAAAGTCTGGGTTAGTCAGGGATACATAACGTGACCTGACTCAAAAAAAAGAAAATTAAAAAAAAAAAAAAAGCCAAGTGTGACAGAATTCACCTAACAATTCTAAACTAGGACGGATTCCTGTGGCTCAATGGCCAGCCAAACTAGCCCCTTTAGGGAGTTCTGACCAGTGAGAAACCTTATTTAACAAATAAAAAACCCGAGTGTATACACACACACACACACACACTCACACACAGCGCGCAGCCAAAAGCTTTCCTGATACGGCTCAGCAGGTGGTAGACTCCAGCCCTCTGGCCTAAAGGGGGCCAGAAGAAACAAGAGCTAGCAAAACTGCTGTTCCTCCTACAGCTAAGAACAGGGCAACCACAGGCCTCCCAAAGTACCTTATCCAAGCACCATGAGTTCCCAGGGGGTTGGCAAAGGAAACCCGGGAAGAAGGCAACAGGAACGTACAACGAGAAGCCACATTTCCGCCTTGTACGTGCAGGACGACGTAAGGGGCCCCTCTCAGCAGAGGGAGACCAAAACAAAACAAAAACAAACAGTTCAGAGGATTCGGGTCTGAGTCCGTGCACCCTGAAAGCCACCGGGGCTCTAGGAGTGAGCATCGGAACCACCCAACATGCAAGCCAAATGCACATTTCCAGGCCCAGAGATTCATTCAGTGGGCATGGAGCCAGGCCTGCGATGCTGCGCTTCCAGCCAGCACCTCTGACAATCCGCAGTACCGTTCTCTGCGGAGTCCACTTCGAGAAACCAGACTCTGAGGCAACAGGGTCTCCAAGTTCCAAAGTTTTCCCCTCTCGCTCCGCACACCGATCTCCTCCCACCACCACCACCACCCCAGGGGCCTCACCCAAGTGCGCGGTCATGGAAGCGTCGGGGAACTCAGTGATGGGCTCAACGGCCTTTTGCCGGGGCGCCGCGGGCCCCCCAAACCGCAGCACGGTGGCCGGCAGGGGGCGCTGCACCAGGGACAATGCAGGGCGGGGGCGCCGGGCACCCCCAACCCAGAGCCGCGCGGCGGGAAGGAGCGGGCGGCGGGGAGGGCGAGAGACACGCGGCGGCGGCGCGAGGGCGGGGCAGCCGGCGGGGCGGGGCCGACGGGCTGGCGGCGAGCGCCGGGAGAGCGCGCCCGGGCAGCGAGGAGGGAGGAGCGAGGGGAGCGCGGGCCGCAGCCGCCCCCGCCCCGCGCCTCCCGCGCCTCCCGCGCGCAACAGTTCCCCCAAAGTTGCCGCCGGAGGGGCGCGCAGCCGGCGGGGGACGCGGCCTTAGCTCGGCACGCGTAACCCCGGGCGGGCGGCGGGATGGGCACTCGGCAGACCAAGGGCAGCCTGGCGGAGAGAGCCAGCCCGGGCGCGGCGCCCGGCCCCCGCCGCGAACGACCCGACTTCTGGGCGTCGCTGCTACTGCGCGCCGGGGACAAGGCGGGGCGCGCGGGCGCTGGGCTACCCCCCTACCACCGGCGCGTCGGCATGGTCCAGGAGCTGCTGCGGATGGTGCGCCAGGGCCGGCGGGAGGAGGCGGGGACGCTGCTGCAGCACCTGCGCCAGGTGAGCGCGGGGAGTGGGAGACGGTGGGGGGGAGCGCGGGGCTCCCGGAGTGCCCCGCCCCTGCGAGGTGATGGGGAGGGACGAGAGCGCCCTGCGGCACCGCCCAGGGTCCCCCATTCGCGGGGATAGAGCGGTGTGGCAGCAGGTGCCTCTGCGTTCCCGCTGCATTTGGGGCCTCAAGCCGGTGCGAGGAAGGCTGACCCGGCGAGCTGGTAAAGGAGACCTGTTGGACCATTGTCCCTGTTCCTCTCCTCCACAGGTCCCCAGGGATAGTTGGTGGGAGAGGATACTGAGATGTATGCCTGGTCTGGGCCAGGACTTTCTTCTTCCTCTCTGCCTGCTACCTGTCACCCTCTTCCAAGAGTCCCCAGGGAATGCACAGTTTTCTGAGGCATGTCCCTAGGACTGATAAGATTTCATTCAGTCCCTAGGTCATTTGCCACCTGGAGTTATTGTGTATTTGTGGTTTCACCTTCCCTAACTTTGACTGGTCCTGGCCATGAGCCCTTGCCGAAGTCTTGGCCAGAGTGAAGCTAGACTTGGTTTCTTGGCCAGCAGGGACAGAGGCTGCCTGTGCTCTACCCTCAGCCTCGTCCTCACCCACTGGTTAGGGGCAAACTACAGATCTGGTCGGTTCCTTGAGTTCAAGGCCTGATGCTGTTACCCCTCTCTGTTTTTGTTTTCCTTTCTCCTTTTTTTCGGGAGGGACAGTGGTAGCCAGACCTTGTTGAGCGACAGGGGCAGGAGGGCGCATAGGGGCTTTGCAGAACGGTAATGAGGTTGCTTTAGTCAGGCTTTGTGGCCCAGACTCACAGACCTTATATTCTTTTTTTTCCCCAGACCTTATGTTCTTGAAGGACCCCAGTAGATGTGCAGTCTGCTGCCGATAGGGGAGGGAAAACCTCAGCTGACCTTTGTGAGGTTTTCCCTTTACTGATAGAACAGGCTGTAGGGACAACTTCCTGGGAGGAGCTTCCAGAATCTAATTGGATCCACATCTCCCTGGATTCTGTGGCTTCCCTCACGCCCTTTTGTTGTTTCTCTGGAGTTTGTTCCTAAGGTGTGCACTGCGGGAGGGAGAGACATAGAGGGGACCTAGGAAGATGTAAGGCTTTGCCCTGCTCTTCATAGCGACATCCACAGTGGTGCCCAGAGGCTGCTGAATCCTCAGGTGCTCTTCCTGGCTTGGATCATCCGAGGAAGATGACATTTTACACCACATAACTTTAGTGGTGTGTATTCCTCTGTCTTTGGAAAAATTAGAGGCCAACCTTGTATGGCCTCCATGGTAACTCTGTGACTTTCACCCTGAAAATGGATTTTCCAGACCATCGTAAGCCATTTGCGCAATAGACAGTAAGAGGGTTGTTCGGCTCACATGCTGTTTCCCCGGTCCTGGGAATGCCGCTCTGAAGAATACGAACGCATGGAAGAAGCTGACAAGCGCTTGCTTCTTGAGGGGTAGGGAGAAAATGAAGGCAGCATTGGCGAGCACGAGTTAGGTGCTCACCAGGGGAGGTTGAGGTCTTGGGGAGGAGGCAGATGTTTTGGGTATCTGGCATAACTGCACGCTGCATTGTGGAAATCTGGGCCTCTCCCTTTAGGGTCTTCTGCTCATGTGTCTTTGGATCCCTGGCACCTCTCCAGTCACAGGCCTGGGAGGGCTACAGAGAAGAGGCAGGGTTAATTAGACTTCCCCCTTTTCTGGGGCTCCCTTGCCTGGTGGCTGACAATGAGGGCTGTAGACCTGGAGAGCTGCCCTGTGTTGCCTGTAATGTGGGGATAAGAGCCCTTCCAGGAAACGGTCATTGGCCTTAAGCATGTAGGAGTGGAGCTCAGGGATGTCCAAATGTCTGTGACAAATGAGAAGGGTGTTTTCTAGGACCCTGAAACCAACTAGCAGAATGTCTAGCCGGATTTGTGCTGCAGTCTGAAGTGGCTCTCCCCCCATACTATTTTCATCTTAGTTCATCTTAGTTTCCTCCTTAGTCTCCTCCTGGCAGGAGCCAGGGCAGTTTTGACACCCCCGTTCACATAATACTTCTCCTATAGTTGATGAACGCTTGGGTTTGGGGTTTGGTTTTTTGAAGCAAGGCCTCATATGTCCCAGACTGGCCTCTAACTCACTGTGTAGCAGATGATGACCTTGAACTTCTGATCCTCTAGGATCCACCCCAAAGTGCTGGGATTACAAGCATGAGCCTCCACACCCAGTTTATTTGGTACCGGAGATCAAGCTCTGGACCTTGTGCGTGCTGGGCAAACATTCTTCCAACTGTGCTACTCCCCAGGGCTTGACACTGAATTTCTGTGTGTTCAGAGCATATACAGGGTTAGCGGAAGCATTGGTTCGTGACTCCTGTGATCCTCAAGGAATTGAGTCCTTGGTCTTTCTGAGGCTCCGGGAAGAGCCTCACATACTCTCCTCAGACAAATGCGCCTGATCTTGCAAAGACTTTCAGGAGGCGCACAGAGCCGGTGAGCACTACCCATAGAGTCCACGGGCGGAGTCACTGTCTCTTACCTCCATTTCCCTTGCTTTGTGTCTTGCATATAGAAATGGCTTAGAACCATGTGTGGCAGTTCATGGTGAGCCGGTGCATTATGGTTGCTGGTGCCACTTGAAGGATTCGGGGAGTGTTTCCTTGCTTGGAGACTCTCCACTTATCATCTGTGGAAAAGCCTCACATGCCGTTCAAAGGGTGCAGGCAGGATGCCAGGCAGTTACCTTGAAGGATCACAGAGCCATCCCCCTCCTTTGAGGAATGAGAAGGGCCTGAGACCAGGGATCAAGCTTGGGTGGCTTTGCCTTTGGTCTTCAGTCTGCTGTGACCTTGGTCCTAGTGGTAACCCCTCTGTGTTGTGTTTCCTCATTTCCCAAAGAGGGATCCTTGGTACTGAGCAGAGCAAATGCTATCAAGTGTGTGAAATCTTGTTGGCACTGCCAATCAAGATGTGTTCTCATGGCAACCAGGAGAATCTGGCCTACTTTGGATATAGCTGGGCTAGGGACAAGGTCATGTGGCCTTTCTCTTCAAGCCTAAACCAAGACACTCCTGGTTCAGAAGCAATCTAGAACTGATGCCTGAGAGGATAAAAGAAATCATTCCCCCACTCTTACCCCATCACGCCCCTCACCTCGACTCCCTCCTGCCCATGCATCATGGGTTTGGGGGCTCAGACTTGCCCTCTTTAAGGAGTCCTGGGGAAGGGATGGTTTGCAAAGAAAGGATAAGTGCTGGGCTGCATGGAAGGTACATTGTCACTGTTTCAGCCCAGCAGTTTCTCTGGGGTCCCCAGAATTTCAGGCTGTGTTGTCCTGCTTCATGGAACAGCAGAATAAGAGGAACTGGCATATTCCCCACTGAGGTGACCCCTCCCTACTGTGTTAGTCAGCTGTCACTATGACAAAATACCCCAGGTAGTCACTTTATGGGCAAAGCTCTGTCTGGGCTCACAGTGTCAAAGGTTTCAGGTTGTGGTCATTTGGGCCTGTGGTGGGACAGTACATCATGGAGGGGGTGTGTGGCTGAGGAAGCTGCTCACCTCATAGTGGCTGGCAAGCAGAATTAGAGAGGAAAGGACCAGGGTTCCAAGACCTCCCACAAGTCCCCACTTCATAACTACCTCCCAAGAGCAACACGTTAGAGGCCCGTGGTCTTTGAAGACCCTTATCCAAACCCTAGCATCTACTTCCCTCAGGGAGTCCAGTTGGCTGGTTTACTGCTGGCATGGCATATCCCTAATAGGCAGAGCTGTTCCTCTGTTTTCCTGACTGAGCTCTGAGGACTTCAGTGTGCCCTGAATTCATGGCTCTAGGTGCTGCCCAGAATGGCAGGGCTGGCCTCCTACCACACCCACAGACACGAACAAGAAACAATCACATGGGCTCTAGGGTAGTACATTTATCCCTGAACCCAAGCGGAACTGGATAATGTCCAAGCACCTGTAGACTCCCCGTTGATTGGCAGGTCTCCTGCCCAAAGACAGAAAGATAAGCACCTTGACCTTTGAAGGTCATCTTCTCCCTCCCATATCCCTTGTAAGAGAATCTATGGGTGAGCCAGTGGGAAAGCCACCACACACTGCGCTGGCAGGTCCCCACTGTGACCTCCTATTCTTCCTCTACCTGGAATAAATCTCCTTGTTTACACATGCACTCTTAACCTTCAGCAGGCCACCTTCCTGAGCACGCCAGCCCATGCTATGGTTAGTACATCAGTACCACGATAGTGCAAGGTATTTAGTCATCCATAGCCCTTCCCCATGACCTCTGCTGTGTCAGACAAGGTCATATGCTTCCTGAGATTAGAGACCCATGGTACAGTATTAAAAAGCTGCAGGCTGCCGGGGTGGTGGCCCGCATCTTTAGTCCCAGCACTCGGGAGGCAGAGGCAGGTGGATCTCTGGAGGCCAGCCTGCTCTACAGAGCTAGTTCCAGGCAGCCAGGGCTATACAAAGAAACCCTGTCTTCAAAAAATAAAACCAGAAACGAAGAAAGGAAACCTGCAGGTCTGTGACAGTCCTTTGTAAGGCTTTGTGCTATAGAGGCATGTGCATATATAGACCGGCGACATGGTGTGTCCTCAGAAGGCACTTGGATGCCCCGTTTCAGCCCTGTTCCAGGCTGCCAATAAATCCTGTGCATTTACTTGTAGGTTTCTGGGCATTTCAGTTTTCAGGAAATACTAATGGCCACAGGCTTGACTGTGCCTGGCATCGTGCCAGGCTGAGGTGTTCTTGGAGAGAAGAGTGGCGTGGTGCCCAGCCTTGGCACCACAGGATCCCATTGGGCAGGTGTAGTCTGGGGCCTCTGCTGAGGTGGCAGACGGAGAGCAAAGCCTGCTGGGATAGTTGGGCCAACCCACTCCTGGCCGGCTCCTGCAGGCTTGCATGTATTCCCTGCACAAAGGAGCCTTCCTTTGTGAACTGTATGTATCTGTCTGGGCTGCCTGCAGGCATTTCCAGGGACCGAGGTAGAGGCTTCTGATGTCAGAGCC